TCACAGAGGTTTGTGTATGATGAAAATGGGTACTACCATTGCTGTGCTTCCATTCCATTTCCCGAAGGCTCTTAGGAATCTGCTCTTAGGAATCTGGGTTTGCATGGTTTCTAAGGTTATGATCATCCAATCTCATTGAACATCTTGTTAGATTCATTGGCATTACAAAATGTTGGTTTCAATGCATTCTTGATTATCTCCCTAGACAGTGTTCAAACCAAAACAATATGGTTCGAAATAGAAAAGCCATTTCTTAAAAAAAAAAATTAAACCCAAAGAATGAAATACGGAATACGGAGTACTAGATAAATTGATTTAAAAAATAAAATGTAATGATTCCCTGAATTTGCAGTTGTTGATGAGCTACTGGTAATCCTCAATGTTCTATAGCATGCCTTGTTTATCGTTACCGAAATACGGAGAAGTTCGTTGCATCCATATACAATTTACTATTGTTAACCACCTAACTCCGTGCTTTTTACGGACTTGTATACATTCTAAATAGGGTCATGCTACACTTACACCAAAAGTTGTACCCCATTTGTACACCGCAGTTATACACAAACATTTTGATGGTTTACACCGACACAAGTGTTGGTGCGTTAACAAAAATTTACACGGACACAAAGTGTTGGTGCGTTAACAAAAATTAGTTTTACACCAACACAAAATCTCGGTGCAAACCTACAGTGTACAAAAATTTGGGGTACAAATAGCTTTATCCTTCTAAATATTCTATGGAGGACTATTTAAATATACTTCTATTTAAATATGGAGTACTAAAATAGGAGTACTATTTAAACATAATTCTATTTATTTTAATTTTCTAATTATTATAAAATAGGTGTTATATGAATACTTTTTAACTATCATATATATCTTCGTTGTAATAAAATTTTAATTTTAAAATAGATGTATACTCTTTCCGTCCCAGTGTATTAATATGCAATATAAATTGAGAGTAATTGAAGTTTAAATTTTGTCCAATTTGACTCGAAAAAGTCAAACTGGACAAATACACTGGGACGGAGGTAGGGGTGAACACGGTACCGGTACGGTACCGTGACCGGAAACGGTACCGTCGGTACCCGCCACCGTCACCGTCGGCCGGGATGTTCCACCGGTTCCAGGAACCGGTACCGTCACCGCCCTCCTCGGTACCGGTTCCGGTACCCATATTTTGGTACCGGTTCCGGTACCCATATTTCGGAACCGGCACCGGCGGTATCGGTACTGGTTCTGGTACCTATTTATTTTTATTTTTTTGACTTTTCCTGTCTATGGCTGCAAACCTACAAAAAAAAGACAAAACATTAGTGGGAAGGGGGGTCCCCTCAAATGGCTATAATGCCGTTTAGGGGAGGGGGGGTTGGGGGGTTAGGGGAGGGGGGAGGGGGCTTCTACAATCTACACTATCTATAAACACACAATTTATTTTAAAAAAGTATCACACCATTCTCATTTCCTCTTAATCTTCTCTAATTCTCTTAATTCTCAATTCACATTATCTCTCTATACATTTTATATTTATATAATAATATAAATATATATTAATAAATTATATAATATATAAATATATACTCATATAAATATATAATATTAATTTTTTAGTTATACATTCATTATTCATATAAATATATAATCATATTCTCATATATTAATTTGTTATAAAATAATATTATAATTTTGAAATTCAATATATAATTAATATTATAAATATTTCAATATAGTCTTTTTTTATCAAAAAAAATATATTAAAATGTCGAGAGAGTCCGGTAGAAGGTCGGTGGATATGGGCGCCGTGAACCGAAGTTCGAGGAGAGGCAAAACTAAGGCTACCTCCGACGGTTTGACCTCACGCGGACGCGGTTTTCAAGGAAGACACTCCGTCTCTTCCTTCCCTAGTATCCTCGATCATCTCGTGGGTGACGCTTTGACGGATCAAGAATTCGACCATTATATATTAGGTAGAGATGACGCCAATCTCGAAACTCTTGAAAGTTTATTCGAGGACATTGATGAAGCAAGAATGGACGTGGAGCCTACACTGCACAACAACAGTCCTACCGACGTCGACGAGGAGGCAGGTGAGCCCGAGACCTCTCAAGGTCCGGACAAAAGTAAAAAAAATTAAAATCAGATTTATTTGTTTATCATTTTGAAAAAGAAACAAAAGATGGCATAGTTTTTGGAACTTGTAATTATTGTGCCACTGTCATTAAAATTGGAGTTTCCGGCGGTTATGGTGATCCAGAAAAACACCTAAGGTCGAGGCATCCCGTGGAGTACGCCAAATACGCAGCAAAAAATAAAGGACGATAAGAAATGCAAACCCAAATTTCTCGGTTTGCTAACAGGGGTAAGGGCGGCCTTTTTGCTTATAGTGACAAGCAAAATAAGCAAAAAATGGCCGAAATGATTTGTGAAGAAAATTTGTCATACATGTTTTCTAAAAAACTTGGATTTATTGATTATTGTCAACAGGCATTAAACCCTCAAGCAAGAGGTTTTTCAAGAAAAACAATTAAGCGAGAAATTATTCGACAGTATAAAATTGAAAAAATCAATTTGGCAAATTTTTTTTTTCTCAATGTTAATTCTCGTGTTACTATTTGTTCTAATATTTGGGGTGAAAAATATCATAATTTGTCTTATATGGGTGTTACTTGTTATTGGATAGATATTGATTGGATAATGCATAAACGTGTTCTTGTATTTCGTGATTTCAATGATTCTCATACTGGTAAAAATATTTCTCTATTGCTTCAGTGTATTCTGCAGAAATACAACTTAGTTGATAAAGTGTTTGCATTTGGTTTTGATAATGCTACTAATAATACTGCTGTTATTCCTAGACTTAAAGAAATTTGCCCCCCCTACTACGAGTATGGGTAGATTTCTGCATCAAAGGTGTGATTGTCATGTTTTAAATTTATGTGTTCAACAGGGATTAGAAGCTATGCAGGGGTTTTGACGAATATTAAAAATGGAATTAGAAGGATTTGGGGTAGTCGCCTTCATTCGAATGCATGGAAAACATTCTGTAAGTCTAAGGGTAGAAGAGCAATAACATTTGCCAAAGATATCACCATTAGATGGAAGAGTACATACAAGTTGATAACACAGATTCTAAGCTACAAAGAAGAATTTGCTGAATTTTTTAGGGATGAACTTCTTTTAATGATTTCACCTAATGAATTTGTTATTGTTGAAAAATTGAATGGCGTATTAGAAGTTTTTAATAACGCAACTCTTACTTTTTCGCATGTTTACCAACCAACTAGAAATAGATTTTTTAAAGAGTGCGTTACAATCACAACATGTTTTCGTGAAAGTTTGGCTGATCCAGATTTGTATCCTTATGTCCCTTGTATGAAAGATAAATGGTATGCTTATTATTTGTACATTGCTGATATTTATAAAATACGTATTATTTGTGATCCACGCTTTAAGATTGAAAATTATAAAATTCTAATTGACTATTACTACAGTTGTTTTTTAGATGAAAATAATTATTACTACAGCCATTTAATAGAATGCAAAAATGAAAGAGATAATGCTATAACTCTTTTTGATGCTTTATTTAAGGAATTTCAAGGGATATACGGTAATGTACCGGAAGAAACATCACCTCCTCAGCCCCAAAATCAAAAAAAGGTTTTAAAGGAATAGTCTGTGGACTTCTTGCAAAGAAAGGGTGCCATATGATTATGACGACGACGTGGAGTTTGACGTCCTCGGATGGTGGAAGCAGAACGAACACATGTTCCCATGTCTCGAAATGCTAGCAAGACAAGTTTTATCGGTCCCGATATCAACCGTAGCAGTGGAACAAGAATTCAGTGCTGGCGGCAACATTCTAACCGACTTCCGAAGTTGTCTTAGCGCTGAATCTCTTGAAACACTTGTTTGCAACTGAGATTGGCTCTTGGCAAGACGTCGAGCTCAAGAGTCAGGATACAATTTGAATTCCGATCATTACAGGAATGCAGCCACAGATGGAAGCCCGAGTTCTGAGGAATAAGTTATAAACTTTTTTTTTATGTTAATGTAGATATGTTATTAGTTTTTTTAGGTGAGCGATATATAAGCTCCTTCGAGGAGTTCTTTACGATTCTTTACCTCGTCGCTTTTTTTGAACCGTCAGGATATTAAATGTAGTTGTTCTTTAGTTCGTGTCTTACTCATTTTACAATCTTTAAATGACAACTACATTTTTAGATTTTTTTATTTCATTCTTTTCTTTAACAATTGCACATTTACAATTTTACACTTTAAAAATTTAAAAAAAAAAGCAAATAATAATAATAATAATAATAATTGGGGGGTGGCCGAAACCGGCCGATCTGGTACCGAAACCGCCGGTCCGGGTATCGGAACCGGTATCGGCCGGTCCGGTCACGGTATCGGTACCAAAGGGTGGCGGTACCGGAACCGACAGTTCCAGAACTGGAATCGTCCAAGAACCATACAGTGTCCACCCCTAGACGGAGGTAGTATGTATTAAAATTCTATTTTCATATACATGTGGATGATGTGCATTTGTAACGTGAGAAATTTTATACAAAATTAATGGTCGTTGAATAAAATAATAGTAAAAATGTTTAATTAACAATAAATTGAAATAATAGATGTTAAATGGACAATTAAGTAATGACACAAACTTTAAATAATACATAGTAGTTTTAGAAAGATACATATGTGATAAAATTTAAAAAATAGTTTTTTAGAATTTATAAAATAAAAAAATGGTGGACAGTTTGAGAAACTATTTACTACTTCCGTCCTTGAATAGTTGTCCAGTTTTGATTTTTTTCAGTCAACTATTTTCAACATTTGGTCTCCAATTAAATAAAATATATATTGTATATGTTAGATGAAATAATACTTTCAAAATGTTTTATATAATAAACCTAATGAAACTATTTTTATTTCAATATCTAATATCATTTATATTTAATTTGAGGTTAAAATTTATCAATTTTGACTGAAAAAAGTCAAAAGGGAACAAATAGCCGAGGACCGAGAGAGTACAAGAAAATGTTGCTTTTTTAAATTTTAATAAGAGTAAATTCTTTGAATAGTCCTTTATAAATGAGGGTTTCCATATTAAGTCCATATTTACCAAATATTATATTGACAGTCCTTATTAATTGGGTATCATTCTACGTTTAGTCCTCCGTCTATTTTTATGTCTCTATGCCGTTAGATAAGGACCAAACGTGGAATGATACTCAATCAATAAGAACCACAAAAATAATATTTGATAATATGGACTAAATATGGAAATTCTCCCATTATAAAGGACTATTTGGAGAGTTTACTTTTTTAAAACCATTTTTAGTATTGAAAGTATGTACTACCTCCGTCTTTGAGTATTTTGTCCAATTTTGACTTTTTGCAGTCAACCATTTTTAACATTTGTCCTATAATTAAATAAAATTATTTACATAAATCCAATAAAATTATTTTTGTATCAATATCTAATATTAATTTTATTTAATTCGTGGTCAAGATTGCTGATTTTGACAAAAACACTCAAAAGTAGATCAATACTCTGGGACGAAGGTAGTAATAAGAGAAAAAAACCAAAATAGCACTCTTACAGCCTTAAAATACTCTAAATAACAGTGCTATATGTTTCGTACGTGTGATTCCGATTTTGTTCTTTAATTAAACAATAAATATTCATTACACACTACAAAAAAATATGTCTGTTTTGGGCAGTGTAGTTGTTCGCTTGTAAATGTGTAGTGGGCAGTGTGGTTTTTATATGTGAGTATTTAATGTGTCAGTCTAGAATGGATATATATTGTTATATTTTATAGTAGTGTGTAAGTGTATTATTGTGTTCCTTAATTTCATGTTGGAGTGCAATGTCCATTGATTTATGTGGCAGTGTTTTCATGTATAAATTCTACACTGTCAAAAAGTATATGACTGTATTCATGTATGAATTCCACACTGTCCAAAAAATGTATAGCTCTTTTTATATATGAATTCCACACTGTTTTCATGTATGAATTCCACACTGCCAAAAATGTGTATGACTGTTTTCATATATGAATTCATGAATAATCTATTGCACCAAAACACACTCGCACGTATGAGGCGCACATATGAGGAGGAGTCGCACGTATGAGGATGAGTGAATATGTGAATAACCTAAGTTTAATCAAATAATTAAAAGTAATTAAAAAAAAGTAAAATATAATAAAAGGTAGAGGGTATGCTTGGAAGATATTGACACTTTAAATAGCTAAATTCGTATAAAAGATTAAGAAGTGCTACATGCATAATATTGAGTGACTTAGAGTGCTACATAAGGTGATTTCTTTAGTAATAAATATGCAAAGTATATGATTGTAGTTTGTATATAAAAAGTCAAAATTATTATTAAAAATAATTTACCAAAAAAATCATTTTTTAAATATGAGAATTATATTAGAAGATATAGGAATTAATAAGTAATTTGAAATCATCCAGAATAGGAGTAAATATAACATCTATCCTTAAAATAAGAATTTCATGTTTTTTCTCAATATACGAGTTTGCACTGTGATATAATGACATTGTATAGTTATATTATATATTGGCATTATTAGATTTGTACTCTTGTTTTGGAGATAAAAGTTTAATTTGAAGCTCTTACATTATTAATAAGGGTCTTTTTAATTCCTAACAGTTTCGAATAGATTTTCGTATTTAAACTTGAATTTTTTGATAAACTATTTTTGTGGTGTAAAAATTTTGATTTTTATAAATAAACTACAGTTATACATTTTTCTTATCTATTAATTTTTTTTATTAAAAGTGGTTTAAAAAGAACAAATTCTCCAAGAAGTTCTTTATAACGGGGGAATTTCCATATTTACTCCATATAATCAAATATTATTTTTGTGGTCCTTCTTGATTGGGTACCATTCCACGTTTGGCCCTTGTCTAATGGCCCGTAGATGGAAAAATAAATGGAAGACTAAACGTGGAATGGTACCCAATTAATAAGGACTATGTACTTAATATTTGATAAATGTGGACTAAATATGAAAACCCTCATCTATAAAGGACTATTTAGAAAATTTACTTTTTTAATAAAGTTTACATTACATTTTAAAAATAATAATAACATGATTTTGCATATTCAAAAAAAAAATCTAGAATAATGAAAATGGTATTTTTAAAATAATTATAAAATGAAAGATTAATACAAATTTAATAAGAATAATAGTTATTTTGTAACACTCCAACTCACGTAACCCGAATCAAGGAGTTTACGAATCGGGTTTCTACTAAATTGGTATTCACGGCAGAACAATTTAGACAATTATTCCAAAAAACATCCAAACACAAAATTAAATACGAAAAAGTTCGAAGTAAAGTCCATCAAGTGCGGAAGCATTAAAATACCGTTCACTAATCAATGTTCAAACCGGGTAATTAATAAACTCATTAATAAAATGTTCAAAGACAGAAATGATGACGTCATCCATGGCGTCCTGTATCAACGTCATTCGGGCTGGCCCTCTTGCTCTAAATCCCTACTTGCGTGCAGTCAAAGAGAACAAGACTACACGCTCAACTGAAATCTTTGTGAGAAGAATATCTAACGCTAGAATTAAAATATAAGAACAAATTGCTAGAGGAAGGGGTAATATGGATCCCGAGAGTTCCTCTACATGGTACAAATTGTATAAATAAAATATAAGAACAAACGAAGAGCAAATAATAACAAAAAGTTGGACTATGAAAAAGAAAAACGCATGACAATAATTAAAATAAATAAATCCACGGAAATAATAGAAAGAAGTCACCCTAAATACAAGTGAAATATAGAGATATACCAAAATAAGAGCTTTGTATTTTTATTTCAAAATAGGAGTTTGCATTGTGACAATATAGTACTGTATGTGGACATTTCACAATACTTTTAGGTAACATATATGGTAATGATTGACATTGTATATATATTTTAACTCTTATTTAAAAAATAAAAAAATAGAATTCCTGTTTTGGTATATTTTTAGTGTTTGAATACTATTTTAGTTTTTTCCCCAGAAATATACTCCCTCTGCCCCAAAAAGAAAGTTACAATTAATATTTAGGCATCTCGATAACTTTTGTTTGTTTATTCGTTTTAGTTGACCATTTGATGAAATAGATTATTATTGCCATAATTTGTTTTGTAAAACTTTTGATGTACTTTTGATCGGTGTAATTTTTATTTTTTATTTCTTTGTCAATTTGTAAACAAAATCATATTAAAAAGATAGATGATTATAAAGTAATCTTGTTTGAAAAAAAGAGAGTGTGTGTTTTTCATTAGGACACGAAGACGTCTTGTTTGAAAAAAAATAGACGATTATAAAGTAATCTTTTTAATTTGATAGAAAGGAGATTTTAATTTAGAAAACAACAAATTTATATTTTGATGAAAAGAAACATTTTGAAAGATCCGCTAGAGGAAGGGGTTGAACCTTCGACCTTGTGGTTAACAGCCACACGCTCTAACCAACTGAGCTACTCCAGCCTGTTACTTTGTTTTTCAAATCTGTAATTTTATTTCATTGTAAGCTTGCCTTATACAGCTGAGCTACTTGTTATTTGTTGTAAATATCACTCACTCGCGTAATTCATATGTTCTATGATAACTATCATCACTCGTTTAAACAT